ACTATAAAGTCTGTCCACAGCCCAACAGTACTCAAACCTTAGGGCCACATGCATTTAAAACTCTTCAGAACTCTATTTATATAGATTAGGGCATCTTGGTGTTGCACAATTAGGCTGAAGAAGGATGCCCCAACATTGCAGAGGAACTTTGGGTGACTGTCCAGGCAGTCAGCTTTCTCTGTCATTCTAGATTTTTAGAAGTTGCTTACAATGCTCTTCCTGTTTACTTAGGTAATATTATATCCTTCTGGGGTCTTTGGTGTAGTTGAAGACTAGATAGTTATAATTATAATTTGCCTTGGTTATGATAAAAAGATAAATTAGATATGAAACCTTAGACTTACAAATATAGGATAGATGGAATATTTTCTTTAATTTTAAAACATACAAATAAACCATATAACTGTAATTCCTGTTTGATAACTTTTCTATTATGTATAATTTTACTATGTTAAAGTTAAAAACTCTCCTTTTTGATTAGACAGAAAAGGGGAAGTGCTGTGGGGTGTCTTTATGTATGCTATGAATATGTGTTGCTATGACTGATTAATAAAGAAGTTGCTCTGGCCTATGGCGAGTGAGGTTATAGCCAGGCAGGAAATCCAAAGAGAGATAGAAAGTAGAAAGACAGAGGCAGAGGAGATAACAGCTACTGTCCAAGGAGAAGCAAGATTCCAGCAGACTGGTAAGCCATGGCCATGTGGCAACTTACGGATCAACAGAAATGGGTTAAGTTATAAGAGCTAGCTAGCAAGAAGCCTGCCATAGGCCATACAGTTTGTAAATAATATTAAGCCTCTGAATGATTATTTTATAAGCAGCTGTGGGACCACAGGGATGGGTGGGACTGGAGAAACTTTTGACTATAGACAATGGAAATAATTTTTAACTGAAAGCAATTGTTCATCTGTGCTAACCTGTGCTAACCAATAAACCCTTCAAAATGGAAGAAATGAAGATACTTTCAGGATTATAACTGGGATAATTTGTCCTAGGAGAGTTGAAGTAAAGTAGTTCATAGTGAGATTGACTATGTCAAATTCATGACAATCCTGACTCAGACTCCCAAGCCTGAGATCATATGAATAGACTGTCAGCCCTAGCTCAGAAAACATGTCTAAATAAGAACATGCAAGAGATTCCTCCATGGCATGTGACATGATCTTGGAAAGAATATTTCTAAGTTGCCATTCCATCACTTCTAACAGGAAGGTGAGCACAGGAAAAAAAAGATAAACTATTAAGCAATCCACTTAATGCCAACGTGCTTGAAAAAGCTTAGGCTACAAGAAAAATGCTGTTCAACATTACTAAGCATAAACAACGGTAATATTCCTAGAGTTACTCTTACCAAAATAGCTTTACTATAATCAACGTTTTTGATAACTTGATTGTCATCTATTAATACTAAGATATTATTACTATTAAAAAAAAACCTGCATTATTCTTATCTGAGTTTCAAAAAACATAGCTTTGCATATTTTTTCCCTAGTATTTTTAATCTCTTGATATATTTTATACTGTTAATCTTTCTTCTAACATTCAGTATGTATGTACAAAAACACAGTACATGTATGAAAATACATTCAAATGCCACCTACAACCAGTTTCTCTACTTTAAAACATAATTCTTCCTCTAATTGACATTAATTTACCCAAAGTTCCTATCTTTCAAATTATTTGTGTGTGCACACAAGTGTGCATGTTCACATGTGTGCAGGTCCATGTTCATGTAGGATGATACAGAGGACAACTTTAGGTATCATTGGGAAGGCCATATACCCACTTTGAGGCAGAGTCCCTCACTGGCCTAAAGCCTACCAATTAGGCTAGACCACTGGTCACAAGCTCCAGGCCCTCCTGTCCCCAACCCCAGCTCTGGGATTACAGTTGTGCAGCCACACAGGGCCACGAGGACTCTGCTCACTAAGCCATGTCCCATCTCCCTAATATTCAAGGAAAAGAATTCGTGCAATTTCAAATTTCTAAAGCTTCTACATAAGTATGATTGTGTCATTCTCTTTATTACTGGAATTTTTTCTGCCTGTCGCCAAACCCCCAACAATCATTGTTCAATGATTTGTAATTTTTTCATAAAAATGAATAGGCTAAAGAAAATATTCTCTGCTTCTGAGAGTTTTAGTAAAGCCAATGTAATATAAGCTAAACATCCACTATTTACCAGGCATTTTTACATATATCATATTTTTTTCTTAGTTGCTTTAGTTTTTTGAGATAAGGTCTTATATAACCCAGGCTACCCTCAAAGTTACTATGTAGCTGAGGCTGACCCTCAATAGCTGATGCTCCTGCAATCAGCCTCCAAAATTCTAGGATTACAGACAAAATCCACCATGCCTGGCTGTATATGTTTATTAACTTATTTAGTTTCATTACTATTCACACTTTTCAGAAAACAAAATTACAGATCAGAGGGGTTAAAGGTTATGCACATAAGAGAAGTTCAGCGTCTGAACCCAGAGTATCTGTTTTCAAAGTGACCCTTCCACTACTGTAGTCAGCAAGCTTAATATAGAGAGCCAGGTCTTTAATATTTCTGAGTTTTGCGAGCCATGCAGTCTGCCACCACCATTCAACTTGGTTGTAGCACAAAAGCAGTCACAGCCTATGCATGGAAACATGAGAATAGCTGTTTTGTTCCCCAGTAAAACCTACTAACAAAGTCAGCTAAATATGGAGATCCACTTAACCTGCAGAGGCAGAGGCTGCTGACCTCCGCCCTGCCCTGCCAGGTGGCCTCTCTTCATGATCTTTCCTCTCCACCGACTCCTCTTACATCTTTTCCCTCTCTTTTTGAAAAACTACAATCTTACGCCCCCTGAAAAATTTAAAACACCTCTGAGGCTCAATTATAACACAAACAGTTTCCTTGGAAAACTCACATGTTCTAACTAACACCAATTATGCCACAGATTAACCTTAGCAAGATGAATCATTCCTAAAATTCTAATAGAAACAGGCACTGTATCTGCAGTGTAAAAATGCTAAAGACACACATTCACAAGCCTCTTTTCTGAAGGCTGAGGCAGGAAGACTACAGATTCCAAGCTTGGCTGGGCACCAGAGTGAGAGTAAGCTCAAGATCAACCTGGCCAGTTGGTGAGGCCTGCCTCCAAAGCAGCAGGCTGGGGCTACAGCTCAGCAGCCAAGCACTTGTCTAGCGTGCATGGAGCTCGAGGGTTTAAGACCAGTGACAACAAGAGGCAAGACTGTCTTCTGAATTTTATTCAGTTTTAATAACCGAATATTTAGTATTTAATAATCATATTTAAGAATCACAATCCAATCACATTGAAGACAGAGCACCACTAAGGTCGGCAGCCACACATAACAGCCAAGTCGCAGAACAAGCCTGTGCACCAAAGCAACCACACACAGAACTGAGACTCCCATCACTTATATTTTATAGTTTAACAGCTCACCTGCACATGGCATTTCACATACAAAGACATAAACAGTGCAAATAGTAGAGAGAGAGAGAGTACCCCTCCACCTGTTCTTCTTTCTCGATCTTGTATCTCTGTACATGCACTCACATGCACACATTCTCTCTTTTCCTGCTTTCCACCACCTGTCTCTGTGTCCGTCTGTCTGTCTGCCCCTCTCTCTCTCTCTCTCTCTCTCTCTCTCTCTCTCTCTCTCTCTCTCTC